GACGCCACGGTGTCAGAAGCTCCGCGTGGCCTCTCTGTCTCCCTCTCGGGGGACGTGGCGCCGGCTTCCCCTCAGTTCTCGAGGGTGCACAACGACCGCGAGCGAGAGGTGCACGCCGGAGGTCTCTGCTTCACCTGCGGCGCCGACGGACGCTCGCAACCCACGGCGACACCAGTCGAGGACGGCTCGACCTTCTGTCGACATGGTAGCCAATTATTTGGACGGCTCGAGCGCGGACAGGGGACGACTACAGTGCAGTACCTGAGGATGGTACCGCGCATTATTGCGGTACACCATGTCGTGACGTGGGGCGTCATAGCTGGGTGTACACTTCGTCGAGACGTCGTGTTCGTCTGTCGAGTATGAGACCTGGCAGAAGAGGACTCGTGCTCGATTCGCTCGTCTCCGCCCAAGCGCTCGCCTCCCGGCGCTCGTGTGTGCGTAGAGGCGCAGAGGCCGGCGTCGAGTTGGTCTCTGTCCCAGAGGGCGCCGCTCACGTTGTGGTGCCACTGTACAAGCTGAGACGAAGGGGGCGAGGATTAGATGAAGCGCTCTCGGAGGCTCCTTCAGTCTCGGCCATTAATTCTGGCCGAGCGGTCGTCACTATCAGGCCCATCCTCTCTCTTCTTTGCGTCTTTGCGACGCTTGTCTTACAGGACCTGCCTCCCGACCAACCTGTTTGTGCTATAGGCGCCGTGAGAGAGTGGCCGTGCTGAGAGCCGCCGTAGAGAGGTCCCGCATGTGTGCCTCCCGGCCGGCCCACTGCGCGCCCGAGCATTTCGGACCTTGCCCCCGGCTTAGCACCCCCGCCGCCGAGGCGACGCCCCCGGCCGTCGTCGTTCCTCACACGCGCCCCAGACTCAGAGGCGAAGACAGCGGGCTCCCTCTGCCCGCGTCACACACGTACGATGGACGACCCAAACTCGGCGCATGTGCAACGAGACTGGGGTCCCGTTCCTTTAAAGCGTATGACGAATAATAGGACCGGCCAGTATTTGAGTAAATACTTGGGTCTCGGGTGTACTCCCTGGTTTAGTGGCCTGCGTCAACGACGAGTGTACTTACTAAGAGTTAACGACACGAAGTCATTGACACGACCAACGACTTTTTTCTTCCCTCGTACTAACGCCCAGAGGAAGGATAAATTATGGCTTCCTCCAGGGGCTCCTCCACCCGGGGTGTGAACGGGGCTGCTGGACGCCGCGGCTGCTGCGGGCGTTGGTGCCGCTGTGGCAGCTCAGCCGACTGGAGCCAGCTGTACATGCTGGCGAATGCCGTCCACCTGTTCCGCGGCCGTCTTCATGGACTCCACCATGGCGTGGAACTGGGGTCCGAACAGCCCGTCCGGGCTGATTGGAGCGTCCAGTAGCACTTTTCTGGCCGTCTCCGTAACAGACGCCGCCGCGCTGTGGTGACGGAGAGGGGGAAAGCATGTTCGGCCGCCAAGCTGGCACCCTGCTCCGACTCTGTCTCCCCCGTCCGGGGGAGAGGAGGGAGGGGAGAACCGAACGGTGAACCGTGGAGGGAGGCGGGGCAGGAGTTGCTTCGGACTCCTGCCCGGCACTCTGCCCCAGGGACACGAGGCCCCGTCCGCGGGCTCGTAAGCCTGGACGGGCCAATCGTCCTCCTCGGCCACAGCAGCAAGAGTGTCCGCTCTCCGCTTCCTGTCGCCCGAGGGGAGACGAGCGCAGTGCATGCTACCTGCTGGTTTAGAGCCGCGTACACGTGCTCTGACCCCCGGCAGGATTCGCATACTGCTTTTATCTCTGCAGGTCATAACTCATTATGAACCCAGAGCCACATGAGGGACAATCACGGACGCAGTTGTTGCTCATGATGATTCTCAATTGCTGTGCTTCAGTAACTGTGCTGGTTTGCTGAAAAAAAGAGGGAGCAGATTGCCGGGCCTCCTTCCTATTTATACCGGAAGGAGGGGCCCACCTTGCGGGTGGGCGTGGACTACAAGTGTTTCAGTGCTGCGCGGGGGCGCAGGGGGATTACCCAATAGCGATAGCCTTAGAGGGCGAAGCCATATACGAAATAGAACCAGGGCAAACAAGTTATGTGCACCCCTGTTTATACTGTATGTTGCAACCAATGCATTTTGCGGCATGTACTTTATAGTTAGAACATTGTACAGAGAGGTGTTATTGTCATTTAACCTACCCTCATTGATGCAAATGGTTACACTAAATAAAAAAAAACCTGTTAGTGAAATGCAATACAAAACTGAATTAAAGAAGTTATATTAGACTGCATTACTTTAGCTAGCTGCAACTAGTCAATTGGCAACTGAATGTATACAAAAACAACACATATATATTTGTTTCTTGCGGGTCAGCTATTACCTGTGTATAAATATATATTCCTAACCAATGTGTTTGCATGTTTAATGTGTCTTTATGTGACTCCTCTCTGTTACACAGCAGGCTGTGAGAAATCCCTTTTGCTGACGTTAAACCGGCTTTGTCTTTGAGCTCAGTCTGTAACTCATGAATAAGAAACCCTTCCCTCAACCACTTACTTCTGGAAACAACAACATCCAGAACCATAATCTATTTATCGTTCATGCTGATGGTAAAGAGTTATGGATTGCCTCCAAGGCTGTAGCTGCAAGTATAAACTTATGTTATATAGATATTGATTCAGATGCCGTGGAGCTTTTTTTTAAAAACATAATGGTTAGAATTTCTCATGTGGGGGTTCAGATCAATCCAAAGAGCTAAAAAGACACATGAAGTTATAATGGAGTGGATATACATTAGATTAAATCATTTTCTGTAAAACTGGCAACCCAGAAGTTGTCCATATTATAAATGAATTATTAAACTCTATAAAGCAACATTTCTCCTAACAATGTACTTATTGTAAGTCGCTTTGGATAAAAGCGTCAGCTAAATGCAATGCAATGTAACAGTGGCTTATATTATGAGTTATTAACTTTCATAAAGCCATAACCTTTAACTATAAATCTTTATGTTTGCATTACAAAGAAGTAATATAGTACTCAAAACACAAACCTGTATTACGTAGGCTGATGGAGGAAGAGCAAAGTTGTAGCCGTTTATGTTGAAAATAATTTCTGGCAAGCTATTCGTGTTCCTGCAGCTCACAGAAGCCTAAGAGACAGATTAACAAAATGTTACCTTTTAAAACTCAAAGCCATTAACTTAACATATTTCATATAATGCAAAAATGATTACAACACTCACTTCACCAAACTGATTTGTGGAGGCTCCCAGCCAGCCGTTGATGTTGTTAATTTCTTTGCTTGGGCCGATGATGTAAGAAGTCCCAGAGTCCACTACTGCTTCACAACCTCCAGAGCAGGCCACAGTGTTCCCATTGATGGTGATGCTGCAACACAAAGGAAGTGTCATTAAAAAAAGAAGACGACCTCTGAATGATGTCAACTGTGAAGTGGCTATATGTTTAAAACACAGCATGGACATTTCAACTTGAAAAGGAAACTACCTTTGTATCTGGATGTTCCAATAGTTAGTGGCTCCGTACAGGGGGATCCAGTTTAGGGTTCCAGAGTAATAGCTGCTATCTGTTCCTCCCAGAAAAAGCATACTGCCCTCTAGAGAACTGGAGGAACAGAGATTTGAATAAAATGAGACAAAGTAAGTTGTTTTACAGCGCTATTCCTCTGTGGGTCTCAAACACGCCTCACCTGCTCAGGTACATGGAGAACATATTGTGGGGGATGTTGCCCTGGTTCCACATGTTGTAAAATATAGGTGTGCCTCCCTCGTCTGACAAGCCAGGGAAGGCCAGACCAAGAATCCCATCCCAGGGAACATAGTCAAGGAAATCCGCCTCTTCGTCAGCGAGGCCAACGATCTGGTGCTCCACGTAGAGGTCGCCTACCTGATTAGGAAGTGCAAATATTCAAATGTTATAGGAAACTGATCAAATTCTGCATGGTATACACAGGTGTGTCTCAGCAGCATTTGTGGAAGAAGAATTAGGATTATAACCGAAGTACCTGTATATTAATGTAAAAGTTCAAGTACAGGTTGCAATGTAAATGATATCGAGTATCAGTATCACATCCGAGGCATAAGTAACATTACATGGTTAGTACTGAGTGTTCATGATTATTCTACTTATAGTTGGGTTATCTCCAGCAGTTCCCTGGGCTAAACATTTTGGAAATCACAGGTGTAAACATAATTTTGTAAATTATGAATCTGGAAAGTAACTAGTCATTTTAGCTTTCAACTAGAGTACGGTATTTCCCTCTGAAATGTAGTACTTAGTTACTTTCTACCACTTGTCAACAGTTGGTAAAGGATGCAGTGTGAATGTTAACTCCTCACCTTTACGATATCATATCCTGTGGTTCCTGATGCATATCCGCTGATGTACGATATGCGGAAAGTATTTGTGCCGGCCTCAAAAGTGGAGGACGCCGAGCTGCTGAACATTACATGATTGCCTAACAACAGAGAGGCAAAGAGAAACACATAAAGTGTTGCTTCATCATACACAAAGACTTTAGAGATCAGATTTACTGTCAATTCAGAATTACAGCAAGAACTAAGGATGCAACTAACAACTATTTTCTTATCAATAAATCACACTGCCAATCTTTGGGTGGCTGTTTGACATCCAGGATCCTCACTTTGTTAAATGAAGCTGCCACACTCTTCACACTCACCACAGGCGGAGCTGTTGCAGCTTGTGGAGGGAACCCAGAAGTCGGAGGAGCCGGTGTCAAAGAGGACTTTAAAGAGCTGAGGAGGGGTCCCGATGCCAATCTCTCCATAGTATGTAGTCTTTTCCCAAAATGAGATCATTAAGTCAGTTCATGTGTTTCATGACTGCACAGGGCAGTGTATGCAAGTGATTCAAGATTCAAGAGTCATACTGTAGACAAAGGCGGTATTGTCATATGCCCCATACAGTATCTACAGAAAAGTCATTCACAGGCTCCTTCTAAAGTGCAACATATAACATACTTAAGCGTAAAAACAAAGAATAGTGCAAAGACAAAAAGAAATACAATTGTGCAAGAGAATGGTGCAAGTGAAATGAGTAAACTACATACATGTAAAATAGAGTAAGATGTCAAATGAAGTCTATGTACACCAGAATAAAACATGTTACTTACATCAGGGTCAAAGGTCAATGGCACCACAGTCTGCTCGACCCTTGGGAGAAACTTAGCTGCCGGGTTGTATGGAAACTTCTTCCTGTACTCCTGGAACAGGCCTCTCTCGTCCAGCTGTTGCCGGGCAGACTTCCCTCTCTTCAGGGGAATCCTGAGCAGGAAGATTAACAGTTATCTGGAAACACACTCACCAACACGTCGCGAGGATAGGTCAGACCTCATAACTTATCCTAAAAAGGAGTTTCCACCTTGGAGTGATTTAGGGAGGGAGAACAGGAAAATAAACGACTGTGTTTTTGAAAAAGTCAAGAGCTTGTCTCAGAGGAGGCTGGTTATTAACGGTTGGATTTAAATGACCATATTATCAAGAGCACTTTACAGTTTGCTCCACATTCACACACCAAAGACAGCTATTAGTACAAGCAGTGGTAACTAAAACATTGAATTGAGTACAATGTGAGGTTCTTGTACTTGACACGAGTTTACATTTAATGCTTCTTCCACTGCAATCTGAGGTAACTATTGTATAATTTACTGCATTGCATGTTTTTGATTAAATTCAGGGAAGCAAACTCTATACTTCTCCATTCTTTTCGGTGATTTCATTTTTTTCTTTGTGACATTTTAGCAAATGTAGCTCTTTGCCTTTTTTTGTGTTTTATTTTTTTAAAACATAGTATTTCTACAATGTGGCACTGCTACTTTTACTTTGTTGCATGCAGGTGCATATGTTACTAATTCAGTTACTAAACCAGCAAATATTACACATTTAATAATATTTCAGTGGTTGATGCTGACAAGTTTTGCTTGCACTTTATCAAAAATAATTTAGGTAAAACTGATGTTATTAAAAACATCTGAAACTCTTCAACCTTTTTGAAGAACACATACGGTCATATTTGACTGCAAATAGGAAAAAAATAATCTACTATTAGAATAAAATCAGGATCAAGATGATGCACTGTGTTCTAGAAAATAAATAAAAAATGAAAGTCTCAAAATGCAAAGCTTAACCTGATTTCATTATTTGAAAAAAAAACATTTCAAGTATTTAAAAAGATTAAAACAGAATTTAGGCAAAAAGTGTGTTAAAAAATATTTGTTCTTTGTACAATAAGTTGATGTGTGTTCTTTATCTTACCTGAGAACTCCCTGCGAGACGGCCAAGAAGGCCAGCAACACAAATGCAGACTTCATTATTTCTAAATGTTCCCGATGTAGATCTCCCAGGTCTTTATATAGAGGTCAAAACTAGTGTTAACTCCTCCTTTTTACAGTAACACTTCATACAGGTGAACTGATAAGAAACCACTTTACAGAGCGTCAAATGCATAAATTCAGATAAAGGAATGAATGGGAAATGAATGCGTTTTCCGTAATGCACCATCACTTATCTTACTCAGTTCTTTATTCAAAGTTAACTTTAGAAATCAGCATTCAAAATCAACACAGAACTGTTTTGATATGTGTTTGAATACAAATCGCTGTACAATGAGTCCCACCCTTTCAATTGTCTGTTCCTGTTAATAATTAATCAAAATGAACTCAATGGTGAAAACAATGTATCGGGCCTCAAACCATAAAACATTTCAAATGACTATACAAATAGTAAATGATATGACATGTTTTGTAATTGTAAAAGAATTACATTGAAAAAGTTAAAGATGAAAACCTGTATCTTTGTACCAATAATCCTCACTGATTAACAAAGACCCATAGCTTTATATTTTATTTAATATTCCATTCCTTACACAATTAATGTAAATAAGATCCTGCTTTATATTGTGTTAACTTAAAATGGTTTTATTGTCAGAGTTTATAGACGTTCTATCTTCACGGTCTACTGTATATTTTAATGCCGTTTTATTTCTATTTTGAGATGTTTACATTTCAGGATTGTTTATTTCTACTCATGAGCGAAAACTTGTTTTGTTTTTCATGCTTCTGCAACGCAAAAAAATACCAATTTGGGATGAATAAAGTACATCTTATCTTATCTGATTTGGAAGGAATGATGTGAAGTCCAGTTCTGAGTTTTAGGGAAATTATATAACCTATTAAACAGAAAAGGTCTTCTCTGTGTCACAATCTGAGGTTGCCACGGACAACATCACGTTCACCTTAGCAAACAATAAGATATGGACAGCTAAAATAAATGTTCAGGTGTATTTCAGCACATTCTCCCAGCAGTAAGATTATAAGAGGTGAGAGAGCGGTGAGGTTTGACCTTTCCCAGACTCCTCTGAATGACTCTCTGTTGACTGTTCTCATCTATTGTGTGTACCTTTAGAAAGAAATGTAAAGTAGAATTGACTACTTTAAAGGTCCCTCTGTTTCATAAAATAATGCCCTGTCACATTAAGGGGTGTTCTAAGTATTAATGGCTTTTACAAGATAAAGAGTAAATGCAAACGTTATTGACATTAGTGACATTTCCCACAATAACATTATCACCTGTCAAGCGTAAATCAACTGGATAAGCTTATCGTATTATTTATTTAAAAAAAACCTGATAGCGTATTGTTTCTCCCTCTGTGAGTTCAGGAAGTTTAACATGCCAACATCTCACCCTGCCCTCTAGAGGAGCAGCAGTCTAAAGACCAGATCAGACCACTCACACTCAATAAATAAAACACAACATCAGAATAGGTTTAGAACAAGAGCTGCTTTTATTTAAGCACAAACAAATGCAATGCAGATTATTCATATAGAATACTAACAATTAATGAAAAACAAATGTTAAATATACTCACCAAGGCATGGCTTCTGTGGTCTGATGAAATCCTCATGACTTCAGATTCACAACAGCCGAGTTCATTCAAAGGGACGACTACTGAAAAGAAGTTGTCTTTCCTCCAGGCTGAGTGGACAACCTGCAATACTCTCTAGTTATGACAGGCACATTAAAAAAACGTTTAAATCTGTAAAGAACACACCATACTGTCAACAATAACAATCATCTCTGGGTTGGCCTCATATTTAGAAGTACATTGCACCGCTGTTTATCAGACAGTACATTTTTTTTTATTGGAACACAAAATAACACAATATGTTTGATTTGTTTATAATGTTGACAAACTTAATTGTAATTCATATAGTGTAAAAAAAATAGGTTTAGGTTTGTTTTAAACTCTTACTGTATTGACAGCTTCCTGTCACATGCAGGTTTCTTATCTAAAATACAGGAAACTAGGACTGATCATTTTCGTTTATTATATGTTGATTTTTTTTTCCGATTATGAGATGGTTGTGGTTCGGTCTCTCAAATGTCAGAAAATGTTAAAAAACAAAAACATGTTGGCCAGTGTTTCCAAAAGCCAAAGAAGATGACTCAAATGGTTTTGTTCCTTAAGTATAACTAAAAAAGATTTACGGTCAAAGAGGAGTAAAGAAACCAGAAAACATTGCCTTTTAAAAAGCTGAAGAAAGAAATACTTAAACTTATATAAATTATTTACATATCTGACTTACTACTACTGCCAAATGTGATGTCCTCAAATGACGCACATGGTTTTTTTCCTTAAGTAAAGAATATCCAGTTTTCAGTCATAGAGTAAAGAATCCAGAGAATATTCTCATTTAAGAAGCTGGAGGGGGAAAATATACTTCCTATTACTTGAAAAATGACATGGATGTCACTAATTGTAAAGTCATATAAGCAAGTCATGCATTAACTGCCCTTTATTGCCTGATTGATCTTGACTCCAGTGCCACATTTACTGTGCCACGCTCATGTGGAATAAACCTACTTTAACTACTTATGTTACCATCCTAACATATCGAATATAAATAATTGCACTTATAGCGAGTATTTACATATCTGAGTAACCACTACTGACAGGATGAATAATACTGCTTTTATTATGTCAGATTGAGCCACCGCCTGTTGAACATCGTAACCAGTGATGACTCAGTTAGGATTATAGATCACTAAAGCTTCTGTTGAGAAAGCTCCAATATTATTTATTAATACATTTAAATAAACTAGCTAAGATATCAGTCCAAAGAAAGGCACATGGGTTGGATAAAGTAAAAACAGATTGATCTTTTAAGAAATATTCCATGAATCATCTTATATGTCTTCCTGGTTGACTGATGGCAGGTTCCTAATGTTCGGTAAGTGACATTTACCTACATGTTGCTTTACAGGAGCTTTCTTGTAGTGATTCAATGGGATAACATGACTCCGTGTGAAACTCAGTTAACTACAGAAACTACCATCTTTGTTTAGCAAACATACATTTTACCAAAACTTCTGTAATTGAACCTCTTTGACCTAACCCACCTCCTTTTATCAAAGTCCAGAGCTCAAGCTGTCAAAAGGAGCCAGTTCAATGTGTGTTTAGTTGGGACTTATCACCTCAAACAACTGGGCAAATAAACTGTATCACGTGTTTTTTTTGCTGGCATGTGACTTTCTTGAAATTATATTTTGCTATCATTTCCCCATGAGCATTTATAAATCCTGACTTTTGCTGGTGTGTTTTTTTACCAGCACTAACATTATTTGTAATTTGACAAATGGAAAAGTGTCAGAATAATCAGGGAACAAGTAAGTAGACCTGACTGACGGGATATTTGCTAAAAAAAACTACAAACTAACACCTGAAAAATGTGAAAGTGAAAATGTTCTTTGTTTGTTTTTCAAATGGGATGGACAGCATCAGCTCAGGTCAATTATTTTCTGTATGTTTTTGGTTATAGCTATTAAATAGGGTAGTCTGTGTTGCAGTCGTCTTACACATTGAATACGTACCTGGTTCAGTGGTTTGGGTCATCTTGATACTTTACCTGTGGATTAGGAGCAGCCAGAGGACAGGGAGAATCGAACCCTCCACAGGAAACCATGACTCTGCGGTGGGGGGGTGTGGACACTTGTCACTCGTCGTCTTTGTTTGGCGATGAAGCGGCGATGAAGCAGCAACAGCACCGTCTTGATGATAAACATCCTGACTCAATGACAGCAGGATACTCTTCACTTTGCTTTCATATGCAGTTAAAAGAGTGTGTAAATCACATCAATATCTCAACTAAAGATTAGGATTCCCTGCACAGGCAATCTGTTCTCTTCTGTCGTGTTTCCTCTCCATTTTAAAAGGCCAATAAAAGCGGATGCTGCGTCACTGTCGCCACCTTTCCTCCGACTCGGGATGAGACACATTTTGAAGTCTGGCCCTAGCACAGAGATCTTCTTCAAAACTCCAATGCAAGAACAACAAGCAACTACACAAATGAACTCTGCTCCTCTCTCGAGCGGCTGCAGGCGCCGAAACAACCCTCTGGATGCTGGAGCCAGGTGAGAGAGAAGGCCGGGGGCCGCGGTGCTTCCTCTGGGGGGGGCGGCGGGGGGGCCGGCAGACGCACCACCAGCTGATTCTGGCAAAACGTGGACAGATGATTCTCAGCCACACCTCGGGACACAGTGACTCTAAATTTGCCTTTGCTGAAGGACTGCCGAAAGTATTCTAGTTTGGGCGAATTTCAAATTTGAATCACGCTCCTCACAAATGATGATCAACCAAATGAAACACAGAACCTCCCATTGATTCTCACACTTCCTCTCCTTTCTGCAGGGAAGGGTCCTGCTGTCAAAGTGATAAAGCCTTCAGAGTTTGAAAGACAATTCCAAGAACAGAAAAGGTCACAAAAGTTGTCTTCCGAGGCACTCGTGTTTCCCACGTAAGAGCAAATTTATTGAGACAAAATCTATCGAGTGCATGTCGCACTGTGACAGTTAGGTATACTTCTTAGGCCCATGAGCACTGATGTTCTCCATTTCTCTCTCCAGATATCCTGAGTATACAGCACAAATCATTTCTCCTTTTGAAACAGTATTTATATCAAAGCATAAAAAACAATCATTCAAAGTCCGTTCAGAGGAAGGCCGTGAGATCAGCCTCATTCATTCAGAAGTCCTTTGATAGCGGAGCAATGATTTATACTTTTAGACTCCTGATCAGTCATTCGAAATGTGAAGGGCATACATAGAGCGCTTCATTTATAGGTTACATTAATCTTTTTTAAACAGTACATGCTTTGCTGGGGTAGTATATGTAATTAGTGGATAATAAAAAAGTGACAAATGTATTAACCAATGACTGTTTAACCAAATTAAAGGGTGGCAATTACAATACAATATAAAAAGGGTGGACACAAACACAACCCTGTCTAATCTGCCACTCAAAGAACGCATGCACAACACATAGCTGTGCACAGCTGGCCACATGGGGGGGTGTGGAGACTCCACAATAATAATATTTAGAGCTGAAATGATCAGTTAATTGTATTTAAACTACATTATGATATATTTGACGGTTCATAGGAACATCAAAGCTACCTGAAGATCATCACTGTGATTACATGGATTCTTTCCCCCACTCTTCTTTTGTTTTATTGACCGAATAATTGTTGAATTAATGATAAAACAAACCAGTAAATTAATAAAAACTTAAAATAATTAGTTTCAGCTCTAAATATTAACATAAAAACTGTTCAAAAACCTTGAGGTCAGAAATAGAGACAGAGCTTAACGTCGGCTCTAACCTCATTTGAAGTCGCTTTATGAAGCCAGTACTTTGCATTTGAACTGTTTAGCTACACTATGATGTAAAGGTGTCCACCACTACATACTTACAAAACATAAGCATGAACCTAAACCTTGTAATGACACATTCACCTCCAGATGTGGCTTCAAAGGACAAGTGAAGTTTAATGTGTTCTATTATACTTGAATCCTTAATGTTTAACACCATTGTTGGAAGCTTAAAGCAGGAGGGGCCAAATGTGACAGAAATAGAAAAGCTGTTATAAATGAAAATGTGAATCAAATGTTTACTTTGTCAGAAAGAAAATACAGATGCACATCTGGAATCTGCCTATGAATCAGTAAGCTTTAGAGCAAGTAGATATATATCTTAGATCTTCTGTACATGACTTTGATTTCATTCTTTCATAGACTGGCTGTACAAACATTAGAGCACTACAAACATGTTGACACTGGCTAAATCTATGCCGAGTACACATCAAATGAAAGCACTATTCTTTGTTTTGAATCTTAAATTATCTTTTGTTATAGGCAGGCATTGTATGAAAGAATATAAAGGACTTGTGTTTCTCTTTAAATGATATAAGGCAACATATAGTTTTGATTCACTGAACTGTAGCTTGCTTTGAATTACTTGAAGCAAAGTACCTTTCAAGTCAAACACATCTGAAAACTAAATAGCAGAAAGCAGTGTGTCACATTTATCAAAATGTATTCAATACCATGTGACTTTGATTTTCATAAAACTTCAACAAGTAAACTGATCCCTATAATTTCCTCCTCTTTCATTATTATTTCTACCTGTTTTTACAACCCACAATTGAACAGTTCATGAGCGTGAAAAGGAACATTTAGACATTTTGTTTTCAGGACGCTCCTCTGATAATGACCATCACCATGTAATCGTCCTCTGATTTGGCAAAGGCTAGAGCAGAGGCATCCACGAACTGCTTTGAGAACTCACATGGGGGGAAAGCGTGAAGAACTCCTGCGTGGTCCTTGTCACGGCCCCCCCCCACAGGGAGGCTGATGATGCCGGCCGCCTCCTTCTGCTTCAGGTAGGACACCAGGTTCTTCAGGGGTCTCTCCGCGCTGCTGGCGTCCTGAGTCGCTGCCTCCTCAGACTTCCCGGGCACGGCCATGAGGATGGCGTATCCGCTGGAGCCGGCGGCCTTGATGCGGCGAGACACTTCATCCAGTTTGGGCTGGTCGAGGCGCAGGCGCTGGCTGATCTTCAGCTGGGACGCTGCACTCCCTGCAGAGCCCGGCAGCAGCAGGCTGGACGCCACCGCCATGTCCCCCTCCAGCAGGTGCAGGGATGTGGGGAAGCTGCTGTTCTTCAGCAGGAGGACGCCCTGCCAGACCTGACTCAGCTTCTGTCCTGCAGCTGGGGGCTTAGACTGCTGACCAGATTTGGAGGAAGGATGTTCCTCCTTCCTCGCTGTGTCGCTGGCTTTGAGTTTGCGGTCCTTCTCGGAGCCCGGGGCTGCTGGGCTCAGGGTTTTTCTTCTCTTGTCTCCAAAGGCAATGTTCTGGCGATCTCGGACAGGGGACGTTCTGCCAGAGCGAGACAGGCGTTCAGGATCACTGGCGCGCCCCCCGTCCCGGCTGTTTCCTCCGGGGCTGCGCTCTAATGACTTGCCATGGCGGCGCAGACCAAAGTTACTGTTGTCAGGTGACGGATCCAGTCGGCGTTTGCGGCTAAGATCTCTGCCTTGTAGCTCCCGCTCACGCTCTATTGACCAGGGCTCATGGGGACGCCTGTCCATGCGACCGATGGGGTCAAAGCCTGCTCCCCGCATCCGGTCGGGCACACCCATGCCCGGCCATTCAGCGCTGGTGAACAAGTCCCTGTCTCTGAAGCGACCAGGAAGTGGAGGAGACCTCTCCCTCAACCTCACGGGGTCTGACAGGCGGTGGGCAAAAGGCTCAGGAACAAAGTCATAGTGTGGCAGTGGGAGGGGGAGCTGCACATACTGCTGCTGCTGGTAGCGGTGCTCTGTGTCTGCGAAATCCACCCTGAGTCTCCTGTCAGGACCCCCGAGAGGGAAGCCTCTCATGTGAGTACATGCAGCCTGAGCAGCATCCAAACTTTCATACTGGATGTAAGCCCACACCTCTCCCTTCCTGTAGTCTATAGTTCTGATGGTGCCAAAGCGGTCAAACTCCTTGGCCAGTGCAGCAAGTGAAACCCAGGGTCCAAGGCCCCCCACCCAAAGCCTGGTCGTGGGTGTGGGTTTACCATAGCCTATCTTTATTGGGTTGTGGCCCACCACTTTCCCTGACATTGCGACTTTGGCACGGTGAGCCATGTCCAGATTCTCAAACTTCATGAACCCATAGGTGTTGCACTGGTCTCTCACTGCCCGCTTTATGTCCACCTCTGTGATCACCCCGAACCTGTCAAACGCCCTCCTCAGGTCGCTCTCTGTCACACTGACGTCCAGATTACCCAGAAACAAAGTCCTGTTGGCCCTCTGGTCATCCTCAGGGGTCATCAGGTCCTCCTCACGGAAAACAGCACATTCAGGGATGAACGGGGGTCTATTCCTGGCATCATATACGGAAAAGTCTCTCTCCCTTTCCAGCTCTCTTATGTGAGGTGGAGGAGGAGGAGGGGGAGGAGGAGGAGGGGGGAGACGGCCCAGAGCCAGCTGCTGTAATCGGTAGTCTCTGTACCCCATGCCAGTGGGGGACAGGGGCCTCTGAGAGTGGAGATGTCTATGTCCTGGAGGGAAATTGTCTTTAGAAACAGGGGAGCGGCTCCGGAGTCTGTTGGTGTAAACTGTCTCTATCTTCAGAGGCCGGTCGTATAGCACCAGCTTGCCGCGGGCGTGTTTAGCCGACCTGGCGTCATCCGGCCTCCTGAAGTTTACATATGCCACCCGGTTCTCGTTTTCTCGACTGATTTTAACACTCACGTCTCCAAACCTCTTAAACTCGTGAAACAGCCCGTCTTCTATCTCCTCATCGTTCAGCTGGTTGCCCAGTTCACTTATTTTGAGAGTCTTGTACTCATTTTCTGGGGTAGACGGAGGCCGCAGGTCGCTGCGTGAACCGGACCTGGATGTTTCCGCCTCGATGTCAGCGCCTCCATACGGCTTGTTCGCAGGAACTACTCCATAGTCGTAGCCGCTGCCGCTCCGACTGGATGGATTGTGTCCGTCTGAATCCCTCATGTCTCTTTTCTCACCGTGTAAGTTCCTCCTGGATGAAGCTCCGCTTTGAGATGAGCCGTTGTTGCTGCCAGCCGTCGACAGGGCTCCGGTCTTCTTGCTTCCTCCTCGGTCTCTGCAGTCATCTGGCGCCCGGGAGCGTTTCTTCACCGGAGACCGCTCTTTCCCCTTCATTTCAGAAAGTCGATGTCTGCCGTCTTCACACAACAATCTGTTTAACTCCAAGCCACTAAATTAGAGCTGAACTCTCTTAACTTTAACGCGGTTTTGCACAACACTCTCAGGCGAGAGACACAACCGCCATGTTGGACTACTACTTGCACTACTGTACAGGAAGTCCCGCCTTACACGTCACTAGAAGAATATGAGTGGCTGAGCGGGCTGTCGGTCATGTGCTCAGGGTGCGGGTGCGGCCCTGCTGTGGGGTCAGAGTACACGATAAGCTGATCTGAAAATGATAGAAAGATAATTATTGTGACTAGAGTAGCACGAAAAGAGGAGAACACGGAAGTCTGTGTTTCACATAAATATAATCTTAGTCTTGAATAAATTATACTAACCTATTTGTGCCCAAATACTATGTTGTTCTGATTGGTCTAAATCTGTTGTATTGTGTAACATCAGCTTGCAAGTTTAAGATCATCAAGATATGCCCAAATACTTAATGTTGTATGCTACGAGGAACTCCCTTTTGAAAAAGCCTAGAGAACATTTCCAAAACAAACCAAAACATATTTTCAACTTCTCAATTATACAAAAAAACAGTATACGTTTATTTAGCTTTCATAACCACAACACAACATAGTTACAATTGTATACAATCGTATAGCAAAGCATTTGTACAGGCTGCATGGTGA